AAAAAAAAAAAAAAAAAAAAAAAAAAAGAGGTTCTGTTAAATAACTATCCAATTAACACTTCTCTTGATATGCTGCATGTCAGTGCCGGATGGGGCTTAAGGTAAAGTTGCTGGAATAGGTATTGTTTGGAACTTGTCAAAAAAAGCACCACCCCCAGAAGAGATTTCTCCCTTTCCATTTTTGTCCCTTTGTTTTTGTCTCTTTGTTCTTTCTTCCTCCAGGTCACAGTGAAACATGGGACGCTGGATACACACTGTCCCTTACTGGAGATGAAACAAACAAACAAGGTTTGTTTGGGGACTTACAGCTCCATTCAGGCAAGCCAGGGAGCAGAAATGGATAAATCTTGAATCATTCACTCCTTAGAACACCAGCTAACGCGGAACATTTAAAGCCAAGCACCAGAGGAATGTGGGAAAACACAAAAGCCTCCTCCTTTAAAAAGCACCATTGGGAAGTTAGCTACAGCAAAGTAAAACAGATGCAGCAACTCATTGCACAGAACCAGTAGTTCTTCTGTTACTCTGTGAACAACCTACTTACTATATGGTAACAAAACACTCCTTCCTACCAGGAAGATGACAGGTGGTGGTGTGGGCAGCGATACACAGTCCTGCATTATCCACACTCACGTCATACTAACCTTCCCTCTAGCAAAACCTTCAAATCCATCAATGACGGCAAACATTTTATGGCCTTCAGTTATGCCAACTCTCACCGCAGCCCTCACTGCAGCATTCATTCCAGCTGCAGGAGCACCAACGTTTAACACTGCCACATTAAAGTTAGTCTGAAAAAAAAAAAAAAAGTTATTATCACTTCCATTTGTAAACCCCGCTTGATATTTTCCTATCATATACAGAGGCTAAAAAGTGGAATGTATGCTGAAACTGCTGTAAATTTCAGRTCAAAGTACATAAACCTACTCGCTCCTTTTGTGGAATACAAAACAGAAACAATCAGAAAGTGGGGTTTTTTTTGTGTGTTTCTGTGTTTTTTTTTTTTTAACTATTTCTTTGTTTCAAACTTTTCACTAGTTTCATCTCATTTGGCAGTCAAGTCATTCAGATTTTCAAATTACTGCTCAGGTTTGTTCAACAAATACTATCAAAGTATCCTATCAAAATATCCAAAGTTACCCAACTGTTTTCCCATTACCAAAGCAGTAGTTTTTTTGCAAGATACAACCTGAAACAGACAACGAAAAAAACGTAGGAACTAATTTGATCCATTCAAGCAACACAGCATTTGWGTGCATCTCATTGACTAACTGCCAAAGCAGAAATACAGTAACTTTCAAATTAAAGCATCAATCAAGATTTTAAAATGACTGGCAATATAGTAGCAAACAAAAGTACACAGATCTTTCACAGTAATCTTATATAATAAATGTTCAATTAGAGTGACAATCTCTAAAGCATTTCCTACTGTGTTTACATAGTCTCCCCTCCTAAAACGTGCTCCACACAAATACTCTATATATGTTGCAGTAATTCCAAAGGAAAAGCTTGAGACATCAGATATATAGTCCTAATTTAACTGTATGTAGTTTAAGAGGAAGTTCTGTGTAAGATAGAATATGAAATAATTCATATTTTCAGTATAATGTGTGTTCTGTACATACGTGTTTAGTTTTTCAGTTATCAAGATGAAACAATTAGGTGTAAAGGGATGTAAGCACTACAGCCCAGGCATTCCAAGCATCCACCATCACATATCGTAGCTATCAAATACTACTAACAATACTATAGAAAATCTTAAAGAAGATAATACTAAAATCATCATGCAGTTGAGGTAACTAGTAGTCATAAACAACAACCAAAAAATGAATCATCCAGTAAGGTACTAGTCACAAACTATGATCAGAAAACAAGTTATGGAGTGGACCATTAATGAAAATGAAAACTGGCTGAAATTTCTTTGTTCATAAATTTAATGCCTAGGTSCTAATAAATCCAAATTTCCCTCTTTATGCAACTTACAAAACTACAGTGAAAAGTGTATATATAGTAAATGTCTATTAGGACTTATTAGACAAGGTAAGCATCACATATGGATGAAACCAGGTAAGCATCAGAATAATTTCCATAAATTCCTGAACTTGCCCCAATCTTGAGAAGTTTTGCCATTAGAGAAGAATTATAACCCTTCCTTTCAATGTCACGATCCTTCCTTCTCCCTGTACTTTTAGACTCAAATATTATCACATCGCCGCCATTCCTTCTTTCCATGATAAGAGACAGAAAGCATAACAGTAATCACGAGTACCAGATACTATAGCACAATCTATCCCAGGAAAGACGTGTATTTCATCCTTAAACCTTACCTTTGGAAGCTCAGCATCTGGTCTTTTGTGTGACAGTAGTTTGTAAGTGTTCAGGTTGTTTTCAAAGCTCCTAAATAATAAAAATAGCAGTAGCTTTTACTTCACAGTTATTTGAGAGAAACTGCTGAAATTTTCAGAAACCAATAAAAAAAATTAGAAATCCTTATTTACAGAATATACTTTTAAGATCTTAGATCGTACAGATCTTAGATCTGTAAAAAAAAAAAATTAAGTCAACTCTTCAGTAGGTAATCTCCAGAAACAATATTCTGAATTTTCATAAAGCATTCAGAGAGAAATAAAGAGCACTGTTTACATTATGTTCTGTTCTCAGAGTCACTGATGATTTTTTTGAGGAACAAATTTCTTTTCAAATCAAAACAATCCTCTGGACAGAGCACTCTTGTTTTCTTCAAATTGCAATTATCCTTAAATTTGTCTAAACTCAAAGCAACAATACTATTTCTAGAAAATTCCTCAAAAAACACTACATTTTCTATGGCAGCTCTGCAAGCTCATGATTACCACGAATGGACATATAAGGCTCTCCAAAAAAAAAAAAAAACCACCAACTTTCACTTGTTCTAATGATATGAGGACATGCAACCTATTTGAAACTACTGTGAAAAGCAAATGCTAGCCCTTCTGCATGATACATCACTTGAGAGCAAATAATATCAAAAGCAGTAACCTCAGTTACAATGTTGGATTTAAAAATCCTAATCTGCTTTCTCTGCAGCTATTAGTAGATTACATTACTCTATAAATAACACCATCTTATCAAGCAGAACAGATTTTTAAACATGAAGATTGTATACTTGATAAATGTTTTAGCKGAAAACACTGCATTACATACAGTTAAGCATTACATTATGTACTTAATTATATATGTATAATTTATGTATATATAATTTACATATATGTAGATGACATATATTAAATATAACCCTTAGCTCTAAATTAAACAAATGTTTTAAAATAGTCAATATAAAACTAATAAGTTATTACAGCTTTTACTGCTTTTTAATATCTGAAAACAAAAAAGAACATTGAAGAAGGCCCATATCTGTGAAATAATACTGTGAAAATATAAAATAAATATACAGAAGGCAAATACATTGCCTTCTACACAAATAAGTTTGTGAAGAAGTATAGCTTATTATTAAATTACTTGAAACRGAAAATATTTTGTTATCACATAATATTGCAGAATGCTCCCTCCAACATTGCTGTTGGAAAACTACCAGCTATCTACAGACAGACTTATCTTCCACGGAATCAGTTTCAAAAGTCTGGCATAAACACAGAACGGCTGCTACTGGTTGCTCAAACATCACAATGGCTCTTTTCTCAGTGAGCTAGAAAGTTACCCAATATCAAAGAATAGCTAGAATTTGACAGTATACTGAACCAATTTTATTATTTTGGCTCTTTATTTCTTATTTATACATATAAAACAAAGAATTTCAATAATAAACAACTCTTTTTGTAAGAACACCAATAAAATTAAAAGTTCAAAAAAATGTTAGGGAAATAAACTACAGAAAGATGTCAGGCATTAACATAACACTAAGCAATTTACCCTCTGCTATAACAAACTGCTATAACAAACACATTGGTATGAATTACTGGCCATACCTTCCACGAAGCCTCACAGCCTCAACAAATCTTCCCTCATCCATGGCTTTCTGTACTTCTTGAGTCTTAAACAAAAAGTGGATCATTTAGAAAATTGAAAAGTTAATCATTTAAACACAATTCTGTCAACGGATCTTTCTAAACTTTACAAAGTCAGAATAAAAATCTGCTAATATTTGATCTAACAATCTATCATACCATAGATTATAATAAATAGGAGAAAACCAGAGTAGAAAGACACATCTGAAGTCTCCCTGAAAGAGCAATATACTTATTTTGTATTTTGCGCATTTTTTTTTTTCTGAGCAAGCTTAGGTAGCATTGAGTAGTTTAGGTGAAGAAACCTGGCTACTGTATAACATGCAAATGGATACAACATCTGAAGAATTTGTTGTACAGTTGAAAGGCAGATTATCTGAAGTGAAATTATTATTTATTTTTAAACATACTTTTATTCTTGCTTGTTGGGGGGTTTACAACTAAGTAATAACATATAATGAACCTGAAGCATGTTCTTTATTCGTAAATGCAGCTAAGTGTTGCACACATTTCCATCAGCGTATTAGCTACAAAAGAGCTTTGATTGTTGTGCACAGTGGCCTGTTGTAGTTGAACAAACTGGCTCTTTGGCAGTAACTCACCATCTGCACACACTCCATTAAAGGCAGGCGGACTGACTGGTTTCCAGACAGGGACACAACACAGGCAGGAGTATCTGGAGTAGCTTCGAGGAGGGCAAGAACAGCTTCCACACCCATACGGCTTGCCTGAAAATAGGAAGTGGTGCAGGGTTCAAGCAAGCACTCACAAGCAGTGGCTTTTAAACACAAAAATGGTCAAGAGTTCTCTGTAAATGAAGACGAAACCAGTTATTCCTTGGTAGCTGAAGTTACAGAAAGTTTTTTTAATATCCAGTACTCTTAAAGTAAGCCAAATGGTTCTTTGCTTCTTAATCCTACTATTGTTTCCTCTTGTGCTAATTGCTTCCCTTTCCAAACTCAAGTTTTTCAGACAGTTAACTTGGGACAGTTATTGTATTTGTCATATTCAACAGATGAAGAACATTATTTATTTGAGGGGTAGGAACGGGGAATTAGGCAAACTGTTTAATTGTAGCATTTGGTGCTATCAGTAGTTATTGTAGGTTCACTCACCAAAATTCTGTCAAAAGCTGATGGGGTTCCACCTCTTTGAACATGACCCAAGATAGTCACTCGAGTGTCAAAACCAAGCCGCTGAACCACCAGCTGCAAATAATTACAAAATACAATAGTTTTTTAGCAACATTATTTTATATATGCAGACATTAGCTCTACTCTGCTCTAAATGCTACCAGAATAACAAAATTCTACATAAATCTATCTAGACTTAAACTCCAGCCCCCTAATCAAAAGTCATGTTTTACATAATAATGCAATCATTAGACTGCAATGTTTTAACTGCAGTTATAATGGCCTTGGTATGCAGTGTCCTCAACCTTACAATAACAAGCCTAAGCATTGAAATTAGAAAATCTGAAAGATGTTAAACTATAGTGGGTTTTCTTTACTTTGTTTCACACATTTGCAACATCATATATCCTGAAAAATCCTGAGTAGAAYTTTAGTGAAGCCTTCTAAACTTACTTTTACCAGGTTTTTAAGTTTTTTTTCTGTCTTTATTTCCTTGCATTTATAATTTTGTTTCTATTGTTTGTTTCTTCTGTTTTTGTTTGKTTGGTTGGTTGATTATAAAGTGTGATTGCACTACACAGTTCTACACTTCGGAGGATTATAGTTCTGTATTAAGARTAAAAAACTGTTCCATATTATTATTGGTATAGAAAGTCAAAAACTAATAGACTACGGAAAACAGAACTTTATAGCCAAAGAAGAGAGAAAATCTATATAAACTCATGACTTCCTCATTCCTTCCTGTCAATATTATTTTTCAAATTCTTTCAAAAGGCACCATTTACAAGAAAAAGAGAATAATTTGAGCTGAAGGGAATAAAAAAAAAAAAAAAAAAAAGTCTTAGTCACCTTAGTCACAGTAACACTTTTGACAACGCAATTATTTAGGGAAAAAAGTCAAGCAAGAAGCACATAAAAACACAAGACTTTCTAAAACACAGTCATCATTATTTGATATCAGTGAGATAGATTATTATTTATTTTTCCACACAGAGCATAAATTAAAATCAGATTTTGATTACTAATTTGAGTAGACTTCATACTCTGTGCATATTAAGGCATCCATAATGTAGATGTCTTGGACTGTTATCTTATTTTCCAAGATAAAATGTCATAATCTGACCTGAAATAATTCTTGTTCATTACAGCAGACTCCATATTTAGATAGTAAAATAAAACTGCAACATGCAACTAGTGAGGTCTGAGAAGCTACTTTACAAGAACAGACTTACTTTGCAGCAATGTTACTGATAGTAACAAGTCCTAAAGAAAGAACAAAATAGAAAGTACATATAAGGATGTTGACACTTACATCCTTAACCTTCTCTGATGTTATAGCTTTGTTATGACAATCAATAGCTCCTTCAGCTACAATAATAATATTGAGCCTTTTCTTTCGTGCACGGTTCTACAATAGAAACAGAAGCACATTCATTTAATAAAAAGTATGAAAAAGGTCTTACAGCAGATATTTGTAAGCAATTGCTAATATTTTAAATTGCATGAATTTGTAGAATTATTTCTTATGCTTGATTATTTACTTATCTTACATTATACCTTCATAAAGTGTTTTCATGAGTGAAATGTCTTGCATTAATGAGGAAAGGTACACACCAGTTATACAGGCACAGTCTTACATAATTTCTATAGTCCATCATACAACTCTTCAAACGATTATCAGAAGTCAGGAAAAGAACTTTTTAAGATCAAACATCATCTAAAGCAARAGACATACTGAAAATTCTGATCATGCTATTAAAAGTAAGTATACAAGGTTTTAAATAAGCAGATTCAAGATATGTATATAATCCAAAACAAAGTAATAGATTACCTCTGAAAGCTTAACACACATTGAATCCTCCCATCCTTCTTCTGGTGGGTATTCAGGAATAAATACCCAATCTGCACCACAGGCTAAGGCACTAACAAGAGCTAGATACCTAATAAATGCAAGAATTTAAACAATTATGGATCAAATTTCTTAATTTTTCAAGATTTTATCTGTACTAAACACAAGCCATTTATGACTGTACATACCCACAGTGTCTTCCCATAACCTCCAGGACAAATGTTCTTTGATGACTGCAAAAATTAGAAAACAGATTAACTGCAATATTGCAACTCAAAAATTCCATCCATATTACTGAAAGTAGCAGTTAAATCAGGAAGTGTTCTCAATTTATCATGCTTAAAATACCATATTAAATATATATTCTCTCTTTACGTATTTTTCATAACATAATTAACTATCGTTATTACCTACTAAAACATATGAGGGTAGTCAGGACAGAAAAGCTGAACATTCGCTAGAAATTTAATTCTGAGTATGCATTATTTAAGAACTGCAATGATAAGGTRTACATTTATGTATTCAAAACATTCAGATCATTTAACTGTTTGAATTTTTACCTAGGGAAAGATTATATATGAATATATGTTTCTTGATACTATCACACCAAGACACAAATTCAAGTAGTAGCCTGAATCTTTCCTAGAGTAGTATGGATAGAAAGCACACATAAAAAGACAGTCTGTACTATAGGGGATGCAGCCTCTACGTTTAGATGTTTGAGATACTGTCAGAATGAATATGATAGAAAAGTAATTGCAAAATGGAGTGAAAAAAAAAAAGGTAAAAAAAAATACAAAACTTGTGAAACATGCAGTCAAAAATAACTTTTATTCACATCCTTTAAATGTCACATAAATAGAAGTCAAATATTAGTATAAGATGAACATAAATCTTCAACTATCATATAGCAATAGGAAACAGTATTTTAGAAAAATAATACTATATTTGTTAAAGTTTTCTATTACATTTTACCTCTGAGCAGTTGTCATGATGGCATCCACAACTTCAATGATTCTGTGCAAGGCTGAGTCAGTACCTATTGTCATATCAGTGCCACAGAAGTCATTGTCTATGGATCCAACCATTCCCACAATGTTGAGGTAAGCATATTTTTTAACAGCTTCTTCGTCAATCTTTCCTGTGAATAAATATACAGAAGAAAAACTGTAAGATGAAACATTTTTTTCCACATTAGACATATTGCTGGGGTCCCCTGCTCTTATAAACATATCTAAATTGAATATACTTAAATTAATACCATTTAATGTTTAAATAAGGTTAAAGTGAAAAAGAAAGCCAAAGAATCAAACATGAGAATCTTAGATACAACTCCTTGAAGAAATGAAACAAGAGCCTTTCAGTCCATTTCAAAGTGTTGACTGAACACAAAACTTCATATGTTTAAAATTGACATTTTACACTTGAAGAATAGCATTCAAATAGCAGCCTCAGTGTGTGTAACTAAATAAAGCAGAAAGATGCAAACTGTGAGCGAATATATTGAAAGAATATACTCAAAAATCATTAAAAAAAAAGAAGAAATAAGTGGTTAGCATCAAAGTTCTGGAAAAAAGAAGTGCTTWATTACTGAAAGGTTCTGATTTCACAATTAATGAGCAAAGAGACTAATAAAAGCTCCTATTCTAAATTTTGGAATGCAACGCCTGAAACAGTGAAAAATGCTGAATCATCCATGAGTTCTAAAGGAACTCRAAGATGAAATATCTTAACTTCTTAAGTGCTAAAAATTACCTTAGCCTCTGTGGATGCAATGGTAGCAAATATAATGCCAAATTTTTTTGCAAGGATTCTAGAACTACCTACCAGGATGGTTAATTTCTATACCAGAGAAGTTAGTAGAAATCATAATGAAAAAGATAACACTAAACCCCAAACAGATAAATACAGCATTTTGAAGAGTCATAAATGTTTTCTATAAATGGAAAAGTTCATTACAAATATTTTCTCAAGTTCCCTACATGAGTTAATAACCAATGAATAAGAGATATCTGGTTGTCACAGTCGACCTGGATTTCCAGAAAGTCTTTATGAAGATCTGTCTTTGGGGAACACTGTGTAGCCATGGCATAAGAAAAAGAATGATTTTGCTTAAAATAAGATGGGGGTTACAATAAATGGTAAGCTTAGGAAAGTTACCAATGGAACTGAATATGCTATTCAGCATATTCTCTAACATCCTAGAAAAAGGAATGAGCAAATGTTAAGTTTACCAATAAAACTTTCAATAATTTACTTGGGTGTAGGGGTTGACTTTTAAGAAGTGCAGAAGGATCTTGTAATACAGGGTAAACATAAAAGTATCAGATGAAATTCAATATAGATAAATGTAAGTCAATACAAAACTGATTTTGTATACAAAATATAAAAAAAGAATAATATCTTAACATTGCAAACAATGTGCCTTTTTTTTTTTTTTTAATTGTTACATGGGATTGTTCTCATTAATAAATCAGCTTCAATACTCAGGAGCAGTCCAAAAAAAACCCAAAAATAAATAAAAATATTAGAAGATACTAGGAAAGGAACAAAGAACAAAACAAATATTATACTACTGTATAATCCATGGTTTGCCCTCATCTTGAATACTGGGTGCAGTCTGGTCTTCCCCACGTCTAAAAGGACATGGTAGAACTGGAAAAGGTTCAGAAAAGGGGAAAGCTAATCAAAGCTACAGAACAACTTTACATGTAAGCAACTCCTAAGTGAGATATGACTCTTCTATATAGAAAAGAGATGGTGAAGAGAAAATAACACAGCTATAAGACACTAACATCATCGAAGGTTATCAGGAGGGACACACCAGGCAGGAAAAGTAACAAAATGTCAACAAACATCTGATTTGTAGCAGAGGAATTGAACTCAGATTGGATTTTGGAGCAAAGAACTTTTCAAACAGAAGTCGTGAAGAACGTTCAAAATTCAGATTTTGGATGGGAAAAGCCAGGGAAAAAGGAACAAAATCCAAAACCACCTTGTAGAGTTACATAAGCACTTTTAAAAAACCACTGACAGTTGCCTATTCAGTTACATGATCTTTCTGTGCCTCTATGGTATATAAGAAAGGAAGTACAGAAATCAAGAACTGAACAACTGTGTTATTTCCTAGAATTATGCATTTGATTTTTAAGGCTTACAAATATGCTCTGAAAGCAGTTTATGGTGTATTAGTCTTGCAGCGTAATTTCGTTGGGAGTTAAACTGGATGTTTATAGGGTTTAACTGCAAACTTACCTTTCTGTGCCAGTTCTTCTAGAAGTCCACTCCACTCTTCACGGAACAGATTGGCACCAGTCAAGCTACCATCTCCACCAATTACACAAAGGTTAGTGATTCCTCTCTGAACCAAGTTGTAGGCTGCTTGCAGGCGGCCTTCCCGGGTACGAAAGGCTTTGCAGCGTGCACTGCCAATAACTGTGCCTCCCTAAAAAAAAAAAAAAAAATACATATACATATATTCATATATAAAATATATTAGTCTTGCTTTATCTCACTGTTTTTTTTTTTAAATGGGGTTTTGGGCTGGATGTACAGACTTATCCTCATGTGTCCATATGTGTCATATCCATAGGTGGTAAATATACACACCAGGGGGGGAAAGGAAAAATTCTTTAAGATCACTGTTAATGAATGCTTCTTGAAGGAAAATGTTGAATGATTTAAAGTCCTTTCATTAGCATTCTAATTAATTGACTTTTTTTTTAAACTTTCATATGATGACAATAAGCAATCTGTCAACTTGTCTTTACTGTAAGAGCAATACAATACTACATTGTGAAGAATATATGTTGAAAGTACATACAGAGATCCAAATGGCTACCTGTGTAATACAAAAACAAAGCCACTGATATTACCTGAGTTCTGGTGAATTGTACTGTGACTGCTCTCGAAGGCTAGTTCTAAATCCTCTAAAGTCAGGAAGCCCAGAGAGGTTCATAGAAAATAGATGCCTTACAAAATATCCAAGACTTCGGCTCTATATTGTGGGTTATTGTTATTTTATTTAAATATAGGCATATCAATATGCATTTAAAAGACTAACAAACTGTAATTTTGAAAAAAAGAGAACAAAGTTTTCGAGATCATGTCTGTGTATGAAAAACTGTGTATGAAAAAGTGTTGAAAGTGGTATATGCTAGTTACAGCACTAGAATTACATAATAATGGGTGAAATGGTTAATGTGGATTTCAAGCTTTGGTTTATTAAAGTGAGAAAAAAATCCCCCTCCCATATCACGTACCACTTGCAGAATACTTGAAACACTTTCCCATGAAACTTCAACAATATTATCACCTCCATCAACCATTCCTTGGTAACCCTGAAAAAGATAAATATTTCAGATTTCTGAAAGATTGTCTAATATTTCCACTGTATTAATAGTCACCTTGTATATTTTAACATAACTTCAAAGTAACTAAATCACTAAATGAAAGATACTGATTTTAAATGAGATAATCTTGAAGCAGGTACCAGATTAGAGGAAACAAACAGTTCTTAAAACATAATTTCCAAAAACCTTCAAGTTAAGACACCAAAATACATAGATACTCAATTAAAATAGTAAGATAGAAGGGTAATAATTTTCTTGACTTGCTATCAAAAAAATCATTATAAAATAAACCTTTTAAAAACAYGACCCTCTACCTGCTTAGAAATTATAGTTCAGAAAAGTATACACTTTTTCCTGCAAGATACACAAGTAAAATAAAAGAATGAACAGCAAACAAAAATGTTTCATAAAGAAAGAAGAAATCAGGTCACACAAACYGCGTTCTGTTTCTGGAAGCAGTTATATAATAAAGAGATGAAAGAAATTTAGTAGAAAGAATGTAACTTGACTTTTTTGAAGCATTTAAGAAATACCTTAACCTAATTGGTTTTAGAAAAACAAAACAAAATAAAACAAATAAAGSATTATATTGTAATACAGAACTATACTTATTTGAGAAAAGGAAAACTAGCCAGTGAGTGGCTGAAGGGGTTAGCTATGGTTTTATTAGCTTTCTGCATAAATATTAACAGAAAAAATAATGACACTTGCAGACTTTTTCATTACGTGATATTATGAACATTAATGAGAGAAAAAAAAGGAAATGCAAAGAATTCTTATCTTATCTTGACAAAATTTGGGTTTCATTCAGTAARCAGAACATGAGAAATGTTCTGCATCTGGATTCATTTTAAAAGCCATTCATATCATATGAATATTATATAAATATTACATAATGTTTAAAATCCTTCCATGAACAATAGGATAGAAAATACCAGGGGGAGGCAGAAGGAACACAGTATGTAGAATTATGAGTTATCTAAACTAATCTTTCTGGGATTCAAGTGAAGATTCTAAAGGGAAATATTACTCCTGCTTAATAACATTTGACTAATGAATTTAGATGATAAAAGTAATCAAAGAAAGGTAAAGAATTGGACTAGATGAAAATGGCTTTTATGCCTCCAGCTTTTGTTCAACAAAACTTTATTTAGGTACCTTTAATACATACCTAACATACGCACTGACAAAAACAGGAGCCCTGAAGCTCAAACATTATTTGCACATTTCCTTCAAAACTCAAGGGTGACTTTGGGGCGGTGGAGGGGAATGCTTACTTACTGAATTTTACTGAAATTCATTTACTGAATTTACTTATTTACTTAAAGATTATCTGAGAAATATTTTCAGGAAAAAGTGCATCAAAGTTCTTTACAGACAGAAACATTGCAGTAGATCTAATCTAAGCCTGATGTAGGCTGGTAAATCAGTAAGCTGTCCATAGATTTTTTTAAAGCAATGAATTCAGAGCACTACTTAAACCATAAAGATTGAATAAATTGAGTTCACTGTAATTCCCCTTCTAACACAGACTAGCTGGCAAAAATCCATATACAGTTCACATACTTAGTCTAGTCACTCTCCTTCCATATTTCAAATGGTTGGGGGAGAGAAGGGAAAGAATATAAGGGAGCAGGGAGGATAGTGTATGTCCAAGAGTCCAAGAAAATATCTTATCAATAAAGGTGAATCATATGAGCCACGTAGCCAGAATGACTAAATCAGCAACTGCAGATCATAGGAAAGAACAAATGGATAAACTGCTACTTGAAATTTCCTGGAAGGTCTGAAATGCCTTACAGCTGGGCTGAGGATAAGCTACAACTGACTTCTACAGAAAGCATTTTTAATATACAAATAACTCATGAACGCTGTTCAGAAGTCCAAATAGATTCTTCTTTTTCCATGCAGACAGTTGATATTAGGGGCTATATTAATAATTCCTTTAACTACAAGATAGAGTCAGGGAACTTTTGGAACAAGGTCAATCCATTTCAGCTCTATTACCTTTTCTTAACCCAGTCTGTTTGCCAAATGGTGAATGCTCTGAATAGCATAGCTAGAATTTTAACTCTGTTCTTCTATGGCATTAGCAAATATTAAAACAAAAAAAAAAGAACAAAAGAAGAAATTAAAATGTCTTCTAGAAAAAAAAATGCAGGAAAAGTGAACAAGTATAACTGAAATATCAATGACTATCCATGCTAACCTGGACAATGAGCAACCCATTCTAAGAGTGAATAACAAGTATCTTGAAATATTTCAAAGTCTTAGATATAGGAGTGCAGTACTTGCCAATTATTCAAACTTAGTTTGAAATAAATTTAGACTTTAGACATAAGAAAGGATGGGAGTCTGTCAATTTACATTTAAAAAAAAATAAACACACACACACACACACACACACAAAAACTTATTCAGATTCTAAGGACAGCAGCTTGGATGCTAACAGGGCAAGTATGAAAAAATAACAAACATCCAGAAATACAGTTAGCACCATACCTAATTATCAGGCCCCTTTTATGCTTCTTCCTTCATCTGCCCAAGTTCCTGAGAACTCCGAGAAAGAGAAGCTCTGTGTCATACACTCATGGGACACACGCACACCTACCTGTGACTTGTGAGGAGAGCAGCACTAGACAAACACTGCCTCCAATCTTAACTTTATAAACAGAAGAGCTTGGAAAACACAAGCTACCTTCTCATAAATTATATGAGACATTGGGGGTTTATTTTAATGATTTTTAGAAGGTTTTTCTTTTTTTTTTTTTTAAATAACTGAGTTATTTTGGATATTGCTAGTGCTCAACTACATAACTAATTAGTCTGGGTGCACAAACCACCATATAAAAGACAAAGTTTTCCTCACAGGAACCCACTAGTGCATGCCGCCACATTTCCAATGCTGGTCTTTTGTGAGAAAGGCTCCTAATCAAGGTGAAGAATCTAAAAGCTCCATAGCTTAGTGGTAAGAGCAAGTATCCACTGGGAGCTCTGTGCTTCAGGTCTGGAAAAAGGGGAAGTTATTTATACAGATATTTTAAGAACTCAGTTTCTAAAATGATTTGTCAACTTTTCCCTTTCAGTTGTAAGAAATAACAATAAAAGAAACGATGCAGAGGGGAGAAAGAAAGAATTGCCTCCAACTAGTTAGTGATTTTTTTTTTCTTTTCTTTTTTTTTTTAAAGTAACTTCAGCTGTCATTTCATTTTGACTGAATCCCTATATAAACTGCAGGCTTAAAAGCCTACAGGCTTAAAAGTCTCTTTGCTTAACACACTGAATTCTACAATTGGAAATTATAATTTAAGACAAAAATTGGAAATTATAATTTAAGACAAAAAAAGTACTAAATAAGCCAACTCCAAGTTTAGATGAAAACACGGCTCCTTTACACACATCATACAAAGACTTATAGTGATAATTCTTATCCTCAGTTCTTATTATCACAACATTTAACACCATCCTCTCTTTCTTATTTCAAAGTGCTGAAATTACAAAGTTGATTCACTTCAAAGCTTTTGAAAATATTTCTCCAAAACATTTATATGCATTGTAAAAAAAAAAAAAAAAATCATATTTTAATCAACACAGAGATGAAAAAGGTCAACATCCTGTACTTCCYGAAAAGAACAACTGAATAGATTAATCCAGAAGCTAAGTTCTCATTCAGAAATATTTACCATACTTACTGGGAAACATCTCTGTACCTTACTGCAAACAAGACTGAACAACAATACGTGACGGTAAGGCAAACTTTCAAATGTTGCTTTATTTTTATATCAATGTTCATTTCAAAATGTTTATGATTTCACACTGACAAATTTTAAACATTAATAGAAGAGCATAACTTTAAATAACCAAATTTCAGTAAGGTCAGAGAGACAGTAGCATTTCTCAAGAAACTTGCCACTAAATATACTTTGTGATATAGTTTCTAAAACCTAACAAAAACAAACATACTAATAGGATGAACTCCTATTGAGTGATAATTGATTTTTTAAAAATCCAAATTCTGGCCTTTAAGACAGGCAGGCAAAAACATGCTTATTTCTACAAAAAATATTTGACCCATTTCAACAAGCCTACTAAGCAGCGGAACACAAAGAATTCTAGAGGTTGGCAATGTAATGAGTACACAGTATTCAGAGCTACTTCTTGTAGCACAAAAGAATTTTGGAGCACAGCGCTCTGCTTGTTTGCATGTCAATATACTTCAGGTCTCTTTAGCAAACAAACTCTAGGAATAATCAGATACAGAAAGAAAATGGGTAAATATATATCTTCTAAAAGTAAATTGTTTAAAACTAGAGTACCTCCTAGTGCTTCTCTGAATTCTAACACTCCAATTTGTTTATATTAAATATTAAACATCACATTTTTGTCAGGAATATTGCATGCCATGCTTTGCCCTGTATGGTTACTATCTGTAACCACCTCAAACTTTTCGCTAAAAAGTACTTACTGCACTGTGCAATCCATATATTTTATTCTAACTGAAGGTGACTTTCAGATTAAAGGAAAACTACAAATATATTCTCGCAACAGAATAATACTATATAATTGTAATTTGCATGAATATACATATCTGTCTTCATGTCCACAAATTATTACATTATGTAAATCTTCATCTACATGCAATCGTAAGTTTAAAGTGCAGAATTCTGATGTCTAGACATACATATTGATGAATCTCCCACTTTTTCTATTTTGTTACAAACTTKTAATCATTAAAACTGGGAGGGTGACACCAGCCTGAAAGTCCCCTTGGTCAAAAAGAAGCTCTATTATCTGTGAAATTGGGACAACGGCACAGATTTGTCATACCTTGAGAAAACAGTCTGGAGGCACGGGGGGATGTCAAACAGTTAAAAATTAGTAGCTTAATGTTTAGWTTATGCTGTAGAATAACCGGGGCAAGACAGGTACAACAAATGTACAGACAACTGCTGGCCACATTTGTTTTTCTTAATATTTCCAAGCTTCTGCAGGTGTATGAAGAATTCCATATGTTTAAAARAGAAAAAATAAATTGTTTCCATATATATATGTATCATGTGAAAAGTGCTTTCAATTAAAATAAAAAGTTTAAAATAAAATGCTAATATTTTAAAGAGARTGATAGCTACAACTTCAATATTACACTAATACCTCTACATGGGGATTCCACAGGAAAATGGTTCAAAGTAAAGAGATAAACACAGAATGAATAAGACAAAAAGACTAACCTCATAAACAAAATACACTTTGGCTTTAACATAGATTCCCATGCGTACTACTGCACGAACAGCAGCATTCATACCTAGGAAGAGAAAGCAAATTCACATTGTTACAGGTTATCCCTATACTCCTTTATATAATGTAAATAATGGCGAAGAACACCCCAGATTCTAATTTTCCCAGGCTCCTTAAAAAAGGAAAAGTTAACTCATTCCTAAAGACAACAAATAGAACCTATTAAAACAGACACTGGCTTAATGACAGTGGAATGTGGCTGTGAATATAAACAGTGCAGACTTATTTGTTTTGTTACAGTAATTATAGGGATGCCCACAAGCATACAATTCTGTTAATTGATCCAAATAAACAGCATTTTAAAAATAAAAGCTACTACATCGTTCCCAGTCAAAGAAAGTAAACTCATTTTGTTATAATGCTTACAATCTGAAATGCACAACATGMAAATAGTGAAAATTTAGCTTTTTCAAGTGAGAGATTATGCTGCAACAGTGCTTTTTCCTGAGCTCTCCAAAGCAGTATAGYTGCAGTAAAGTAGGGAGCAGAGTCAACGCTCTTGACATCACCTGCCTGCTTAAAAAGAAAGTAGCAGCAAGTTAAYATCAGAGATGCTACTCGAACTTCACAGATGTGCTCAAGAGAAGTGCATGACAGATATTTTGCTTTTCTGAGAAATTGTAACAAAATCTTCTACTCAAGTCCTATGGATTAAACATCTTGATCTTCCTGAGAAAAATAATATTTTTTTCCCAGAATTTATACAAATTTATACAAATTCCATGGGTCCCCTCCATGGTTCAAATGAACTCTGATCAGAATGCATGCCTTTTCATGACAGGATGGAGCTAACTCATTCTGGAAGGTACAATAAGCCACATACTAATTTCATACAGTTTAAACAAGCATGAGTATCAAAAGCCTAAGGATATAAAAAAATATATAAAGGAAATTTATACTGCTAAGAAATAATCTGATCACCGCAGTTGAAAATGCATGCCATAAATGAGACAGTCTAAACTATTTTTATATTATTGAGTATATTATTCAGATTTAGAAAGTCATAAATTACACCAGTTCTGTTGTCGGTGCAAGTGAGGCATATTCACCCATGTAGAGATATAAAACAGGCTAACAAAAGTCCACAACGGAGTAATTGGTAGAGACCTAACCTGAAGAATCCTTCAATATCCATCAACATTAGAAAAAATASTGAGCTGGAAAAGCCTGCCAACTTTAATAGGGGAAACAGTGAAGCTGCAAATATTATTGAAACTAAAATTCTCTCACATAYTGCTTCCTTAGAGACATACCCAAAAGTCACTGTGTTTTCTGTATACAAAAGCAAATAAATAAAAGCAGAACAGCTTCCGTCATCATCCACTCCAGATGAGTATGAGAAAGCTGGTCCTCTGCAGGAAAAAAAAGGCTCACCACCTGGTGAGGATTACTCAGAACTGCCCTTAATGAATGTTCACAGCTTGTTCTTGGAAATCAACTTTTCCATTCTCTTGTTTGATAAATGACAAGAATCTAAGACATTTTAGACATCTAATAAACATTCACCAATAAAGMCTCTGTTTTCTCTTTCATCAGCAGTTTCTGTATTACAAGTATCTGAGTAAAATAATGAGAAATTGGCTTCAACTCAAACAAGATAAAGTTGAACAGTTTTCTTATCCAAAAGAAATATTTAATAAAATATAAGATATTAAATACAAACATCTACATACCTACTGAAGGCATGTGCTTGGCTTTCATCACTTACTTATTCAAGTTTTTGGTCCCATATTCTGGGTTTAACTTTCATCTTTAGCATACATCTTTTAAACAATGTGTATTAAATAAGTGTAATTYTTCTGTCCTTGTTCCAAATTCTCCTGCAGATTAGCTTATAAATGTTGACTGGGCTTAACTTTCTAAACTTCTCCTAGAATTGAATCAGATGTAAGCTTTTGTTTCTCAAAATGGCTAACTAATCATTCTTTCCATGGGAATATCTTGACAGCAAAATATTCACATACTTTCCTASTGAACACTTTCTGCTCTTCATGCATTTTATATTACTGAGACTCATAAATTAACCAATTTACAAGAAAGTACAGAATTTGGGGGGGGGGAGGGGAGAAAGAGGGTGGGTTGAGCACAACTTTATACTTTTACATATTGGATAGTTAAATCTGAAAACACTGCACTGCATTCAAATAGGCCAATACAGAGAATTCACGCAGAAGTCTCTGCAGAATTTGTATGACAAAAAATGCTGCTCTATTTCATCAACTGCAGCCTCTTACCATAGTACTTGTAAATTACCATAATATCTATGAAATGCAATTATATGCTTATTACCAAGAAAAAGACCTACCCAGTCAATCCTGAATAACATCTAACAGCACTTATAAACATACAGGATTACAATAGCTTTAAAAATAAACCATTGGAAAACAAATTCTAAAAACACAAGAATTATTTCAAATCTTCCTCAGTTACCACTTGCTTTTGCATCTGATTTTGCACTTGCTTTGAAAAAAAGAAGGCTGAAATTGAAAGATTTTATTCTTTTGAACTCAGTAATCCGCAGCTACTTAGATGGCTTTACATAATGCTTGAAATTAATTTTGAGTTGATAATACATATTCCTTCTTCTTGATATGTATATTCCATTTTCTTTGGAAATAATATTTTTCATAGCAGGAATACAAAAARTATTTTGGAAATCCATAAATTACTTAAATGGCTTAACAATGACTTGCTGCCCTGAGCAAAACACAAAAAATTGGCAAAATGTATTAGCAGAGCCAAAGAGAAAGACTTTATTACAGGATAAGGAACATAAATAACATGAAATGGATATGACTGTAATGAAAAGAGGGAGCAGGAAAAAAAGTTCTCCAAGATTATAATCATCAGAAAAAAAAATATGAATAGAAGCAAACAAATACAAAAACCTAACTGAATAAACAACCAAAAAAGTGAAAAAATAAACAAGAAAACAGTTTGGGTTTATTCGATTTACATAATAGATTTCATTGCATATAATCACCATTCTGATTATTGCTACATAACAGCAAATGTTATAATGCCATTTTTCCTAATAATTAATACCATCAAATCAGAGCAGAGCTTTCTACTGTGTGCAGACATAACCATCTAGACTTCATACACACTTCTTTCTTCCAAATGTAAAAAAGGAACACAAGAAACTAGTTTCAACCACATAATTCACTAATTAAAGAAGTAGATTCTCTACTCATTCACTCATCCATTGCTAACTGCATTTTTATATATTTATATAAATTTAATGTGCATTTTATATACACAAGCATACTCACAAACACAACTATATTTGCTTGAAAGCTGATATTATCTTTTCTTTTTCCAGAGTTAAAAAAAAAAAAAAAAAAAACCAACCCTATGACTATCTTCAAATTATACTAGTGTTAACATATAAATACCATACTTGGAAGAATATAAAGGAGTGGGATTTTTTTTATTCACTGTCAGAATCTTTTTCCAAGGTAGGGGATTAGGACAAGAAGAGAACAAATAGTGTACAACCACACGACTATATTAAAGATGTCTTGGAAAATTCCTGGGATACCTTTAATGTTTCAAACTTTAGAGATGCGCGGCTCTACTTCTTTTCATAGTCATGGTGTTCCAGAACTGGGTAATCCAGGAGGCCTTTGTTTTGTTTAGCACAGACAGTGCTTTTGTTTAGCACTGTCTGAAAACAATGCAACTGCTCTTCTACACAAATTGAGAGGAAAAAAAAAATCTCACCTTTAATGCTTATTTATGATCTCCTTGGGATGGGAGATTGTGGGGGGAGTGGAAAGAAAGACAGAGATAGCAAGCTCAGGAAAAGTAGAATAGTGTCAAGATTTCCTACATCTATGTTCAACTCATTCCTGCTGTGGAAATCTACATTTAAAATAGACATAAACACTTCTTGTGTGTTTCAGTGAATAGGAGGTGGACATTTTATTTAAACAGGATAGACATCTTAAGATGCCAAAACCCAGTTAACCTACCAGTTTTCACACCAGAATTAGGACCATCATTAGTATGCAATCCACATTTCCTTCACTTGCGTCATCTTAAACAACACTGAATCTTGGAGACTCTCAGTATTATGTGGTCACTCTCAAATAGAATAATSCTGAGACAGAGTAGCCACAAACTCACCATTTCTAAACAGCCCAGAATTGCCTTTTGACTGATACTGTTCCTGCTGCTTAACCCTATCTACCACTGCCCAAGAACAGGCAATGTCTTTGGAGGCCACATGAATGTATCAGTGAAGGAGGGCTGTCAAAACGGCAAGTCACTGGCAACCAGTACAAAGTAGAGCCAATGTACTTGGTGAACTGGAACAGATCAGAGCCAGTGAGTCATAGAAAGTGAAAACAGAAGTATAACTTAGAAAACCTTTTCTTAGTCCACCTTTCCAAGCTGCAACCACTACAGTTTCAAAATTATCTAGAAAATAGACTACTTTGTAAATCTTGACAACAAATTGTTAAGGTAGTTGTAAGCTATAACATACTTCTTTTAGTTCTCCATTTAATAGTTGGCTAGCCAAAGTAATGGACTGACAGATATAGTACCACCCATATTTTAATGTACAAAATGCCCATCTCTTCCATGTAAAATAAATCCCCAATCGAGTCTTTAACTTCACCAAATGAAGCAATATTCCAATGCTAAAAATACGAAAACTACATCATAGCAATTCCAATGTCATGAATACATTATAGACTTTAATATTTCATAGGCAGTTAGAAGAGACAATAATACTTATATAAAAAAGAAAGCTTGCAATGAAATACCACAGAAGCAGGGAAGTAATTTTAAACCTTAACATCTACTATAAATAGAGGCCTGTGTATTTTACATAATGCTATTTTAAATTATTCAAAAGTACAAAAGCAGCAAAAGCAGTTACTTTTAACTTCAAACAATAACTAGCATGCTTCACTTTGGAGCAAGGTTTTACAGTCTACCTGCCTAAACCAAGGCATCTAATGATACGAAGATATTTGTTGTGATACTAACAAGTGCCCCCTACAGCTTCCTGATGAGTTTGATTTGAATTACTGCTATCCTAAGGATTTCTATCTAACAAATTAAACAAACTTGTTTGAAGCCAACAASTGATTCAAATTCTTTAAAGCAGTCAAAAAGTACTATCTGAACAGCATTCAAAGCTTTGCCTGAAAATATTCCAATTTTCTGGAATCTTTTTTTCCAAACAATTTAATAACTGTGTATTTCCTTCTGCACGTAGTTCATAACTTCACTTCTCTTAGACATTGCCCTACGTAGGACAAATAACCTTCAGAGGGCATGACTCATTTTGTCCCTTGTTGCAACAGTCAGTGTGCAAACAGAGTACAGGTTGTGTATTTTGCACTTGTGCACCRTTCTCAAGATAGCTCCACTGTGTTGTATCATTCAGTCAAAACATCTTTAAGCTTTAAAACCGCATTTTTCTTTTTAAGTTAGAAAAACAACATTGCCTACAAAATACTTGGAAGGCATCTAGTTCACTTTATTTAGCCTTCGTGACAGCCTAATTACTCAGACAGCAATTTTAATAAACTATAACTTTTTACGCCTCCATGAAATACACAACTGCAGTCAGACCATCAAACTTTGGATCCTGGAAGTCTTTTAAATGCCTTCATTCACAAAGGGGCAAGGGCAGATTAAGACTTTATAATAAGACATGCATCTGCTGCAGCTCTGACATTACATAATCGGCAGCCATGCGGAAGCTCAGCCTCTCCCTGAGCATGCTACTGCTGCTTGGGGCGATGCCCTGTCATACTTTGAAATTAAAATGGCGATGTGGAGCATAGTGCATTAACACAGAGATGCCTTGATTCACAGACCCTCCTAGGATGACTTAGCAGTGGAAGTGATGAGTCTGAAGAGCAAACTGTTGGAGGAAAAAAAAAAAAAAAAAAAAAACACCACACACACACACACACTTACTAAAACCTAATCAAACTGACAGTGAAAAAGAAACCAAGCTAAAACGATTAGCTTTCTTTTTCTCTGGATGGCAACTTTTTTTCTTCATTGATGTGTGCCAAATCCCTTCCATCCCTGATTAGAAAAGGCTTCAGATAATCCCAGGTAAAACGAGGGGGCACCCCGTTATTCCTGTGTGGAGAGGGAGGGAGCAAGGGAGGAAGGGAGGGAGGATGCTTCTTCCAGCCCAGATGACGCAAAGAGGCGGAATCTGCAGCGACTCGCAGCGGATCACGTACACACTGAAGGAGGGAGGGAGCGCGGAGACACTGGTCCATGCAAACTAGTRCCTCCCGTACACGCTGGGAATATGAGCGGAGGAGAAACCCGCTCCTGTTACCTACACACACGCTGGAAAAACAGACAGAAACTTCCAATGCAAAAGCAGGCTGGTGCCTGCATATTCTAATGGAAAAAGCAGGGAAAAAATGGTCATTATACTACTGAAATCACATAAAAAGGAAGAGATACACTTTTGTTCTCTATTCTCTTCGCTCTACAAATACAAATATTACTTTTATTTACTTTATGTGAAAGCACTCTCCAGGGAAAAAAAGTAATAATTTAAAAAAAAAAAACTAAAAAAAGCTATCATCATAGTTTTGCATATTAATGAAACAACTCTCTGGCAAGAGTAGATTGAGGATCTAAAATACCAGGAAGCACTGCACGTTTTAAATTTTAACCATTAAACTTCACACTATTAATAAACACGCAGTTTTCTGATACAAAAAGATGGAAAAGGCACGTGAGGAAACACGCTTTCAATGGACTAAAGCCTCTTTCCGTTCCCTCTCTATATCCGTAAGTCTTTTGTTCCTCCTGTTCCTGTGGCTTAGGACTCCCTCTACATGTAGCGATTCCAGGAGGAGACACGTTTTCGACATCCTCCTGGCGGGCTGCAGAGTAAAACTACCATTTGAGCCTTGCAAACCCTGTGTAGGAGCGTTCCCGGTGCCAAAATGCAGTGAGAAGCAGCCGAGAGGGCCGCCCACCCTCGTGCGGCGCCGCACGACCCGCTTCCTCCCGCGCACCACGAGCYAGCCGCTCTGCCGCCTCACCCGCCGAGCCGGCAGGACCTTGTGCGGATCAGTTAAGGCTGTTTTTCTACGCTCTCCCTCCTGCCGCAGAGATCAGGCATTTAAAAATGCGGCGAAGGAGGGAGGGAGGGAAGAGGATGAGGACACGTGCTCAGCTCAGGCCGCGGAGAAACAGGCTTTATGTGCGCAGCCCCAAGACCACCCTGCGCCCCCCGCGAGCGGCTTCTCGCGGAGCCGCCGGGGGCTGCGCCGGCCCTTGCCCTGCCTCCCGCCCGGGCAGCCGGCCCGCCTGGGCGCTCAGCCCCCTCACACCACCCCTGGAGCTCCTCGCCCTCCCCGCGCCCGCAGCTTCCCCCATCGCCTGCCCGCGCTCCCCGCCCCACGCGGCTACCTTGGGCATCGCCGCCGCTGGTGAGCACGCCGATGGCCTTGCCGCTGCCCGAGAGGTTCTCGAAAAACTTCGGCTGGTGATCCATGGTGCTGCGAGGAGGCAGCGGGGCTCTGCCCGGCCGCTCGGGCGCGCTCGATCACTCCGGGGTGGCTTCTGCGGAGCCGGCGGAGGACGGCAGAGGCGCACAGGTACGAACGCTTCTACAGCGAGACGAGGAAACTGGAGGGAAAAGCCCGGGAAAACGGAAAGAGAATACACGCGCCGAGGAGCTGCCGCTCTCACATCCCAGCCCAGCCTCCCGCCTCTCCCCCCGCGACCGCCGCTTCCCCCGGCGGCTCCCGCTGACAGCGCGCGGCGCCTCCCCACCCCGTCGAGCGGCCGTTGACGGGCGGGCCGCGCGGCCAATGAGCACGCGGGCGGCGCGGCGGCCGTTACGCCGGGGCGGGGCCGCGGCGGGCGGTTACGTTACGGGGAGGGGGGAGGCGCGGTGCGGCGAGGGAGCGGTGGAATGCGGGGGGAGGGGCTCAGGTGGGGGAGGGAGGGGCTGCGCTCCCCCCGCGAGAGGGGATGGGGGGACATGGCGGGCGCCGAGCGGGGTGGGCGGCGCGGGGAAGGCAGCGCCCCGCGGGGGAGCCCGGGGCTGGCAGCCCCCGGCGGGCCTCCCTGCTGCATCCCATCCGGGGAAGCGGCTCCCCCAGAAGTCAGTGTTTCCAGTTACCTACTGTCCTGTTCCACCAACGTGTTTTGGCCTTCACCTCTTGCCTTGTTCAGTGTGACATCTCTGTTGGTAGTGAGGGTTATTTTGAGGGGAGTGAAGAGGGTTCTTTCGACCATTACACGACACCTGTTGTGCCCCACGGTCCACGTGGTCCACACTTTGGGCAGGGGAACCCAAATACTGAAGCGCCCTGAGTTTTCTATGAGCCTTTGCGTCAGCTCTGCTGTCTCATCACCAGCACTTGAGCTGATGACCAGGCCCTGTCTGCGTGTGGAGAAAAAGGAAGTAACTTCCTTTCGGTATTTACAACATAGAAACAAAGGTTGCGTTGCAGGGCACTGTAGAAGTAAAACAGTCCAGGTAGAAGTGCTGTCGTCCTGAGCTGGCTCTGCTGCGCCGAAGTTGTCTGCTGCTGTCATTGCTCTAATGCCCCCTGCTACGGTTCTGTGGATACCAGCAGTGCCCTTASTCATAAATAAAAATTCTTATATTCTGATCTCATTAACACAGTGTAACTGTGTTATCCCATACACAGTTCTCTGAATTTTCACTATTCTTTGTTATTCAGCATATTCAAAAGTATTTCCAGAATCAGGGACTGAGTTACATGCCCAAAATTATAAAGCAAGTCGAGGAGAGAGTCAGGAACAGAGACAAAATGCTGACTCAGGTGTTCATACTTTAATTGCTGTCATAATTACTGTTTTTATTCAACATCTACATCACATCTTAGACTTAATTCACATTCTAAAAATACGTGTTCTCATCCTGTCAGCTTTCACACAGACACACACAGAAGCACAGTCATTTGAGTAGCTGAGTCAAAATTATTCACAGATAACTGAAGAAACTCCGGCAGCAAATACATATCTAGATTATTAAGTGGGCAGCTCTTGTACACAAAGCAACTCACATGCTGAAATGAGTATGCAGGATTTGGCAAGTGAAAAGGAAAGCTTCCAAAGACTTTGCCTATCCCAGTCCATGAACACTTTATCSCTGTGAAGTGCTGCAGTACTGATACTATATGGAACTTAGTGCTTTCTTTCTTCATAGCCAGAGAGATGCAACTCAAATCCTATGTTACAGAATCACACAGAATGGTTAAGGTTGGAAGGAACCTCTAGAGATCATCCAGTCCAACCCCTGGCTCAAGCAGGGACCACCTAGAGCACGTGACACAGAGTCACATCCAGATGGGTTTGGAAGATCTCCAAGGAAGGAGACTCACAACATCCCTGGGCAGCCTGTTCCAGGGTTTGGAAAGGTCTTCCTCACATGGAGATGGAACATCCTGTGTTTTAATTTGTACCCATTACCCCTTGTCCTGTCAGTGGCCACCACTGAGAAGAGTTTGGCCCCATCCTCTTTACATCAATCTTCTCCAGGCTAAAGAGGCCCAACTCACTTAGTCTTTCCTTATAAGATAAACGCCCCAGTCCCTTAATCAAGTTTGTACCTCTACACTGGAAGGTGGACTTGTATTATAGAAATATGTAACCCCTCATAACTTTGTCCTGTGTATGTCTCCTACATGCTGGTTTCCATCAATATCACATTAGTTTTTTAGAGACTAGTTCTGCAGCTAAATTAAGGTCTTTGAATGAGTCAAGGCTTGATACAAACCCTGTAAAAGCAGCAGGAAGATCTTGGGCTAGCATTAATTGTCATGACTCCTTGAGCATAATAGGCCAAATGCTAATTTCTTATCTGATCAACTCTTTGAGGAAGCTTTGTCCTGATTGTTTTAGTGTCTGTACTTAGCCCTAATTTAGAATGGGCTTGTTGTGTTTATTAGTTGTATTTAAACCATTTGCACTTTCTCTGGAATTAGACTTGGCCCTCTTGCTTCCAAATATGCCCTTAATGATATAGACATAATATTTTCTTATGCTTTTTTWATTTTTTTTTCCCTTCTCTGACTGGAAAACTGCCTATGATTTGATATGACTATGACAAATGTTTTCATCATTTATTATAGGTACTCCTTGTTCTTTAGCAGAGCTCTCAAGAATCGCATTTTGTCTGTGTCAGGTCATTAGAATAGAGGTGGGAGGAAAGGAAAGGATGTGGAACTGTTTGTTCCTGAGTTTCTCTTGATATATTTACAGATCTTCCAGAAATACAATTGCCTGTAATCTTAAAAGGAGCGAATTCTTGGCTTAAATAGTGAAGATTGTTATTTAACCTTGTGGATTATGCTTGCAATGCAATTAGGCACATATGTATAAATCATACTTGACACAAAGAGAATAGGCTCTTCTGAGATAAGTAAACTGATAACTAAAGAAACTTCATATCTGAATGGAACCTCAGGAGTTAATTTGCATGCTACCTTAGGTGCTCTAATCATCTTCCCATTTAAATATATAATAGGATCAGTTTATATAGGACAGGAACAAGACAGGTGGGTTTTGACTGTTCCCTGATATTGAATGTGCCAGTTGCTCTACCACATCTTTTTCCCCCTGTCTGTTCCCCCTGCCATCTAGATCAGGGCTATCAGCCCATGTTTAAATTCTATCACTACCCAAGAAATCCTAATTACCCCTTGATATTTTCTTTGTATAGCTTAACTTACTGTGCCAGTTTCCTTAAAAAATGCTTTGAACATATTTTTGAACTGCGCTCCTTATTAGAACAATTCATTATTGTGGAAGTGGTATTACAGATGCATCCAGTACTTCATTTGACACAGTTTTCTATTGACATTAAGATAACATGGGAAGAACAAGCCATTTCTGAAAAGAACAAGGTTATTACATAAATTACAGAGCTAAAAAATGGCTTACAGCTGGAAAATGCATTTCCAACTTTTAGCATCTAAAAGTTGAAACTTAGGCTATTTTTTTTTATTGCTAGAGCTGCCTTTCAAATGTGGATTATCTAGCATCTAGTAGTATGTGAGTTCCCAATGCATATTTTTCTGAGACATTTTTAGGATCTGCCTATTCTACCCAGTTATCACTTTTTAATGAGATTTATGAATCATAAAGCCAATTAACTTGCATATTAAACTTGTGAATGCTATTAAACAAGCACATCCAAGAAAGAATGAGAAAGAAGGACTCGCTGGAGTTATTTTAAATTGAGCCTGAGTAGTCTTGAAATGCACAAGTTAGTATGAAAAGAGAAAGGAAGGAAAAAAAAGTCATCAAGATATAATTCCTGTGCAGCTAATAACAATGATTTTCTGCTAAGGAGCTGATAAGTTTCTTCCATTAACCCTGCAGAATTCTCTARCCCTACATGGAGAATCACGAAGTGGTTGAGTTTGGAAGGGACCTTTGGATATCACACAGTCAAGCAGAGTTACCTAGAGCATGTCAAACAGGATCACATCCAGGCAGGTTTTGAGTATCTCCAGGGAAAGATACTCCATAACCTCTCTAGGCAACTTGTTCCAGTGCACAATAATCCTCACAGTCAAGAAGTTTTTCCTCAGGTTCACATGAAACTTACCATATTTCGCTTTSTGGCTGTAGCCTCCTGTCTTGTTGCTGGCAACCACAGAAAATAGTCTGGTCCCATTCTCTCAAAACCCTCTCTTTAAGTGTTTGTATACACTGATGCAGTAAAGTCCCCTATCAGTTTGCTCCAGATTCAGCAAGCTCAGCTTTCTCAGCCATTCCCCATAGGAGAAATGTTTCAATCCCCCAGTGGGAGAAAATATTATAAAAAATAACTATTCCTCATGAAAGGAAAGCATTTATTGGACATCAGCTGGAACTTTTTCTTGAGTGTCAAATGCTGATTGCTTTGAGTTTCCAGTAACCTATTTTTTTCAATTGAATTCAGGTATTAATCTAAGATATTAGTGAAATTGCTGCTAAAATTAGATGGCAAAAAGTTTTAATGGTAGTTGAATCAGGACTATATAAAAGAAAAGCACAAAGCAAATCCCAAAGTATAGTTAACTGCATTTGTTCTTTTTAAGGAAAAGAAAATTGAAGAGGCATTATTATTATTTTTTTCCCAGTAATGCTTTTGCTTATGTCAGAATCTAAATGTAAATCCGATAAAGCCCTAGCAAACTAATTCCTAAAAAAAATATTTTTAAGATGAATGTTGTAGTATAATATAAAAACCAAGAAGTATTGTTCAGCTCACGGTAGTTTTGAAGCTTGCATATTTTTACCGAAACTGTTCTGTAAGTAGTTGCATGGAAAACGTGTTGGTGTGGTCTTCAGGCTTGAGAGTTCTTCTACTGTAATGTACCTTTTCTTCAGTTGTATCTACAGAGTGAAATGTACAGATGTGAAATTTACTATTCAGTGCTACTGTTGAAAAAGTAATTTAAACATTCTTAGCTCCCTAACTCAAATTCTGGTTTTTGAAAAACATGTTCTTAATCCCCTTAAAATACATCTTTCACAGCTTTGTTATGACCCATCAGTAATCTTAGACTCTACTTTTTAATGTAAAAGTATGTTTTTCTTGTCTTATTTTGGAATAAAATTCATGACTAAGACGAACACCTCTCCTTGTGTTGTGAAAGATATGTTGTGTGAGATGTACTTAGCTTAGAATGATTAAGCCAAGCTAGTCACCTCCGTATCATAATTGCCCAGAGGCTTAAA